ATACACTAGGGCGTCCGTAGTGTAGGATAAGCACTGGTAAAAGGTATCAAGAATAGAGTGTCTTGAGGAAATAGCCGGTGTATGGTTATAGCAAGCCTGGGGGGGTAAATTTACCACCCGCTTATGCATGCATTAGGTTAGAAATATATAGGGGTAAACAACTTGTAACGGTGAAGTACAAGTCCTATGCAGCAAGCAGCAGCCAGCAGCAGCAGCAGCAGCAGCAGCCGCCTGCAGCCAGCAGCCAGCAGCAACCACCAACCAGCAGCCAGCCAGCAGCACCACGCAGCAGCAGCGCAGCATCAAGCCGCAGCAGCAGCAACACCACCGGCAGCAAGCACCACCGGCAGCAAGCAGCAAGCAGCAGCAGCAAGCAGCAAGCAGCAAGCAGCAGTAGCAGCGGCGTCGTCAGCCGCAACAAGTAGCAAAGCAGCAGCTACAAAAGCGGCAACCAGCGGCAGCAGCAAACAGCAGCAGCAAGCAGCAGAGCGGCAGCAGCAGCAGCAGCACCCTTTACACCAAGCCACCGTTTACACCCAACCAACCACGTTCAACCAACCCCCTACACGGCGCAGCTGGGAGTTGAACCGCGGGGGGGGGGGTTAGCTTGATATATCAATCTTTAAGGCACGCAGCCCCTCCCACCACAACATTGCTAAAGCAAAGAAGAACTCAGCTAGCATGCTAGCTTTCGTGATATATAACCAAGAACTTCAAGAACCCCTAAAAAGGTCATACCTACCATGAAAGTTCATGTGTTGGGTTCGATAGGAAGTATATACCCTTAATTTACCCTTACTAAGGATGTTAGACATTTTTAGTATACACCGCCAGGTCAACCCGTTCAAAACGTAACTAGTGAACATGGCCACCAAACTCCATCGCCCATCTCCGCCTCGACCCGCCAAGCACGTCTTCGCGGTCTGCGCGGCGTTGCGCGGCGGACATCGCGGGCGCAGAATCGCCCGAGGCCTGCGGACACTTGAGGAACATCTTCACCGTGGCGGTGAGGATCTGGTTCTGCACCGCCGCCGGTTCCTGGCGGAGGCGGAGGAGGGCGGAGGAGTATGTCACGTCACACGGTGCTATGGTGAAGCCGAAAAAGACCTCATCATGTCGTGGCAACGAGACCGGCGAGGAGAGAAAGGGAGAGGAGATGAGACTCTGAAATGGCATGCCGCATCATGCCTGTGAGTCAAAAAACCTGGAGCCCCAACACCATGTAGGTGGATGTAGGTCGACCTGACAGGCTGTCACTGTTCAGTTGGGGTCCAGCCAGGGTCACCCTGACCCACAGCAACATGGCACGAACCAAGCTTTGGACTCTGGACCACCCTACACCGACACCTACCCCCACCCGCCTCTGCTACCATGCTTTTTACCGCGCCCGGGCGCGTCAGGGGGGTCAAGCGCGGTCAGGGGGTCCTCCCCTGGGTTTTTCCCACCGACGGGATGAATCGAATTGACTCATTGACGACCGGACTAGGTGGACCGAACCTACCACTCCCATGCAGGGGTCTGGAAGGCGACCTTCCTTTCCAGAGGCTTGTCAGGGTGGTTCCTCCAGGCTCACCTCACTCCCCACTTCGCCCTGCCCAGCTCCCTCCAGCTCCCTCCAGCCTCATGAAAGGATTCCAAGAAGGACTCCAAGAGGTCTCCACTGTTGTCGATCCTGAGAGCTTCGGACCGCTCGTGGTGTCAAAAGCACGTGGTGTCGCGGAGTCCAGGAACAGAAAAGGGATCCAAAAAGGGACAAACACCTCTTCCCCGGGCCAGCCAAGAGAGGTTAAGTGAGTGACCGGATGGGGTACCCAACTGGGATAGGCGAACTAGGGTCCTTCAACCTCTGCTGGCAGGGCCCGGAAAAGAGTCGAAAGAACAAAGGAACACCCACCCCGGATGACGTAGGCAACTGAACCACCTCACGGGCGAATACGTGGATGATCGTGGATGGCATGGCCCCCGATGTTCGGCATGCTACTCCAACAGGTGGTGCATTCACTCCACGTCTCCAGCATGGACCCTGGGAGTCCAGTCGACTAGACGGGGACCTGACGAACGGGGACCTGAGTTCGGGAACTTCCTTTGCCGGTCAAACTATCCTCCAGCAGTCACAAAAGGGATGCTATCCATGGAGGTAGTCGGGGTGCCCAGCTACTCCACTCACTGGATGGGACTAAACACCACCCCGACATGTGACTGCTGGCTCTTAGGACTTCTAGGCTCGAGTCCTCCATGATCCATGCGGGCCATGCCGCCGCTTCCCCACCACATCGCCTCCACCGCCCTCGACCTCCCTGCCGCGCGGCCGCTCGGCGTACTCCCCGACGATCCACACCATGGCCGCTTTGGCGTCCGGCTCGTCCAGACCTTTGGCGGCTGGAGGAGGCGAACCCAAACACCAGGGAGGGAGGCCGCGGAGGCCTCGGAGGGGCCTGCAGTGGATGCTTTTGGGCCACGGATCCGCTTCCTCCCGGCCCTAGCCTATAGATGTGGCCAAGTTCATTGTTAACAGACCCAGCATGGCCTGCTCCCTAGATGAGAAGGATGCTATCCCCATGAATTTGGCCTCACATAGCATGAAGAAGCAGTGTTTGACCCAAAGAATTTACACTACCAAATGTCAACGATTCTTTAGATGGAAGGCTAGGGTAGATGTTCGTAGCCATCCCCATCATCCCTCTCGAAATTTCCACACCTTCTGGGGGTTAGAAGCAATAATACAGATTCGTGCAGCCGCCATTGATTTGAACGTATTTTGTGGGTGCCGAACAACCGAGCTCTGGTTGTAGTAAGGAAATGAAAGATAGACGACAAAGCCAGGTCAACCATGATTTTCGATGGCCTTGGAAGGCTAGGGTTACAACTTCCCTGCTTACTCTCTCCTTCGTCTTACTCTATGTTCATCTATGTTCGCTGCGCACAAGTAGCTGCCATGACGCAACTGCCAACGCAACTGCTGTCGTTGCCGAAGCAACCGCTGTCGCGCGCGGTCGTTGCTTCAGCCCAAGAGGCTGTCGAGATTCTCGCAGAGATCCGAAATGATGATCTCATACCTCGGGGAACCCGACACAACCAACGGAGGTTGAAGGACCCTATAGCCTGTCCCATATATAGGTACCCCAGTAGGGTCCTAGTTCAGGTCACTTAACCTCTCTTGGAATGCACACTCCAAGATGATGAGTCAAACCAGAAGTCACAGAGCTCGGGGTGGTGTGGCTGGTCCCCAAGTGAGTGGATGTGACAGGGGCAGCCCGACTACCTCCATGGATAGCACCCCGTCGAACGTGACTGCTGGAATGTATGTCTGAATATGGAATACAGGGGTGACATACTCCAGGATGAATTATTGTTAGTCGCAGTGCCAAACATCAAAGGATTCAGCCATGCATGTGTGATTTGGGTGTGGGTCAAAACCACGATGCATTGGGCACGACCTATCTGGAAGGCTGGAAGGTCAAGCTACATGGTGTTAGGGGCTCCAGGTGTTCCGATTTCTTCAAACTCACCCCATTCCCCGAGCCCATTCCCCGCGTCTGTTCCTTCACCCTCATGGCTCCACACCTTGACAGATCTCAACAGCATCGCCCCCAGCATTCAATGATCTTGACTGCCAGGCACATCAGACAACACCAGACCACCCTCAAGAGCAGCATGACAACCCGAACCGCCCGTCTCCGCCCGAACCGCGTCTCCGCCCGAACCGCGTCTCCGCCCACGCACGTGTTTCCGGCGGCGGCACTTCCCGGGATACTTCCGAAAGATGTCGCGGATCACGACGATGGCCTCCTGCACCACATAGTTCACCTCGGCGTCGAAGGAACGAAGCAACGCGGGTTTTCCGCCGCCTCGAACGAATCGAATCGAACGGTGCCGATGGGAACTGGTCCTGCGCAAAAGTCTCCAAGGTTTCAGGGAAACCCACAGGGACACAGGGCCTGTGGGAGGGTGCGGGTGGAATCACCTTAATCGATTAAAGGCAGGTGATCCCATGGGTCTATATTCCTTCAGTTTACCAAATCACCTCGTCGCAACCACGAGACCAGAAGCGCCATTCTGCCACTCACGAAGGAGTTGCAACTTCACCCCTACAAGGTCCAGGTGCTTGGGCCCTGGCAAGCCTGGTGCGACTGACCTCCTTGAGTACTAGTAAAGCCTGGTTTCCCGGGCCTGACCTGTAGAGCACCAGTCCTCTCCGGGGTCCATCTCTGGCACCATCTCTACCGACCCCCCCAAAGACCTGCACGCCACAAAGGCTTTCTTCAGCTTTCAGCATGTGCGCACCCCCAGGCACCAGTGGATGTCCATGGATTGTCCATGGATGTGCTGCGTCATTAAGACCTCCACCCGCGGTCGGCGGAACCCCTCCGCCCGCGTCGGAGGCCGCCGCCGGCGGAACAGCGAGGGCCGAGTTCGCGCCTTGGTCTTGATGAGCTCCAACAAGCAATCCACGCAGCGCTCGGCCGCGCGGTCGATCTTGATGGCCGCCTGGGACCAGTCGTGGAAACGGCGAATTGGGCGGAAGGTGGGAGGAAGGTGGTGGGCTTTGGATTGAAACAGTTCTTTTGGGGGAACATCCTTTAGAGTCGCCATTTACATAGCAAGTGGTTGTTTGGGGAGACATCCATATGTTACAGTGGACCTTCAAAGTGACCCATTAAGATCCCAGTGGTTAAGGTCACAAACAGGCTTAGGCTCAGGTCACAGACCGGCTCAGGTCCTGGTAACTCCTTGCCACCCCCCCCCCCCCCGGACCCCCACCCCCCCCCCCCTGCCCCAACCGCCCCAACCGCCCCAACCGCCCCGCTCGGCTCCGACCGCCTGTCCGATGGCGCGCACGGAGTGGCGCACCACGGTGATGTCGACCTGCGAGGGTTCCGCGGTCGACCGAGGTGAGAGGCCACGTGGAGAGCGGGATGGCTGTGGCGAGGCGGGCACAGTCAGGGTGACTGTAGACCCTAGCCCTACAAGTCCAAAGGCCCAGTAAAACCAGGTCGTTTGCTTGCTTGAATAGTGCTTTTGTATGACCAACTCCAGTAAAATGAGGTCATTGACCTGCAGGGTAGGCTTGGCTTCTTGGCTTCCAAGACCATCAAAAACCAAGAACACGAATCAAGACAGGTGACACGAAGAGCAACTTCCTGAAACCTTCAGAGGGGCAAAACAGAGTCGTCTTTGGACTTATTCCATTGCTCGATGAGCATTCACCATCTCAGCTCCCTAAAATTCGAATCAAGGAACGATTGACATTGGCTCAGCGTTCTTCCATGAAGAAATCATATGCGTTGGGAAGTCATATTGCCCTCCACGTGGCTTCTGGGTCGCCCCCACCCACACCCACGTGCCCCCCCGCCAGCACATCGGTTCCAGTCCGTCGGCCATTTTGCGCCCACCGCGGTGGAGCCACCGTGGACAGTCGAGCTGTCGGAGGCTGTGTGTGGAGGCTCGGCGGGGCCTGTGTCACGCAGGCCCCGAAGCAGCATGAGCAGCATGCATCGAATCGATCCCATGTCCCTCCGAAAACGGTGACCATGTTGTGCATTCATTGTTGGTGAAGTCGGTGCAATACACATCATAGGTGGAAAATGTGGATTAAATTTGGATAAGTCATGATAAAATCCTTTGGTCCCATGAACAATCCCTCATGTTCACTCGTGTTCTTGCCAACCCCCGGCACAGGCCCCTGCACGCAGGACCCAAGTCTCGCCGCCAGTCTCTGCAAGCGACGGGCACGAGCTACAGAGCCGGCTGAGCTCAGGAAGTGGTTCCAATCCTCTTTCTTCTTCTTCTTCTTCTTTTCTGTTCTGGGATCTATATACATGGCGTTTTCCCCAAGGGCTTGGCATCTGGTGTCAGGTTCCAATCTGAAGGGGCAGAAGTGGTCCAACTCAGAGGACAAATTCCTTGACCTGGATGTTCTGTCCAGGAACAGTGACCAAAATATTCCTCCGTGCCAGGGGGCTCACTTTTTTTCGGGAAAATGAACATAAGCAAAACGTGCTTCAGGATCATCAAATGAAGTGGGAGTGGGAGGTGGAAGATTGTGAGCCTAAGAGCCTCCGGGTATTGCTGGCCATCGCAACTGAACCGCCTCCTGTCAGCTGGCCGTAGCCTTTTCAGAGGCTCTGGAGGCCCCCAAAACGAAGATCCAGCACCGCATGCCCCTCGAATCCACGAAGCAAGGCCTCTGCAGCCTGAACTTCCGTCCTTCTCCCTCCTCTCGGTGGGTCACTGCTTAACGATCCGTAGACGTTGTTTCTCTCCTGCTGGGTCCAAGCCCCCACCGCTTTGGCCCGAGTTTGGGGTCGAAGGTTCCTGCCTCCCAAGGACCTCCTTTTCGGGTCACCGTAAAGCCTTTTGGACCACTTTCCAGGACCTGAGCCGTTCGTGACCTCTTCAAGGATTGGTAAATGACCTTGCCTAAGTGACCTCAGCCACTGGGATCTCACAGTCGGTCACTGGGAAGGTCCTGGTTCAAAAAACTCGACTGGACTCATATGTATAATATGGTCAAACTGGCTGGCCTCCCTTTCTGCACTACACGCCCATAGGTAGTAACTAGTCCCTAAATGTCCCTAAGCCTTCCAAAACGAGTTTTAAAGTGCTGACTGACCTCGTTTTGTGATGTAAAATCAGTGAAGCAATGGTTGTTCGGCCAAGATATTTGTCAATGGTTGTTTGAAGCATCTGGGTGGTGCTTGGACTGCTTCTGCCTCATCTGGGACGGGGCGAGCGGCTGGGTCTCTTCATGGAGCCCTCAGGTCAATGTGCTGTACAATGCTGCCTTACAAATCCCACAGTTGAAGGCCAGCTTCCCATGCCCACAATCGTTGCACACCGCGCAGAGGCGTCTCACCTGCATGATCTGCTTTGTGATGGGTTTGAGGGTGTGCTTCCTGGAGCTGTCCCACCGGGGAAAAAAAAGAAAACAGTCTTCTTTACTGGACAGCCAGGGGATTCACCCGCGTGTCAAATCGACCTCGTCCGAAGCAAAAACCAGTGCTGTCTTTTTCCTCCAACCACTGAAAGACCATCACATGTCCTGGAAGTCAAGCCGACCTTTTAAAAAACATGGGGAACGATCTGGTGCCCTGTAGTGCAAAAACCCCTTGGTGAAAGCTCGGTGGTTCGGGATGACCGGGCCATTCAAACCATGGTGGGCCACGACTTCTAGGGCAGGTCCATGGGGTCCGTTGGGGTCCGATCCGTCGTGCATGGGTCTACGGTCGTATCCAGGTCGTCATCCAGGGTCCTGTGGATGATGGGGCCTGGTGGCAGGCCTTGTTGAAGAGTGATGATGTTTGCGGACTATTAGAGGTCATAGGACAGACCCAAGGATGTCTTGGGCTTCAAGCCAGACCCCCGAACGGAAGGTGCTGGCCTGCGTGTGTGTGTGTGTTATACTTGCAGTCCTTTCAGAGAAATGCTGTCAAACATCAACTGTTTCAACCAAACCTGTCCGGGAGTCCACATTCTCGAACTTGGATGAACAGTGGCCTGGCTGGGTCTGCTATGGGTCTGCTCCACAACCCCAAAGGTTTAAGTACCAGGACCTTCTCAGTGACCTCTTCAGGATTGGTAAGTGACCTTTTCAAGGCCTAAGTGACGTCATTCTGGGATCTCAAAAGGTCACTGGGAAGCTCCTGGTATACAATAATTTGTTTGTGACACATCCTCACAACTTTTCACGTCTACCTGGACCCTCCTGCCGGGGTGTCCTATCCGAAATTCATATAAGTAGTTTGGGGTAGTCCAGGCAGGATGGTCCTGGTATGGTGGGATGTTTGGGAGAATAGCTCATGCGGCTCATGCAGCTGGTTCTTGATCTTCCCTCCTGATCTACTACGAGGGGTTCGGCAGCTTCTGCTCGGTTTTTCGCCCATCATTGGCAAGGCCCAACAACTGGGCTCCACGATGCCTCGCGCCCCGGAATTTGAAGCAGTGATTGAGCCCCCTAGGCCTCCAGTCGTACCTTCTGAGGTTCGGTGGGACTGGGGGCCCGGGTGCCAGGAGGGCCAGTCAGACCGAACCTGAGGAGGTACGACTGGAGGTGTAGGGTAGTGGTTCGAATCCTGAACCACCGGTTCTTTGACCGAAGGTTTCACCACAACATCAGGTCTTTCCGTTTGGTTTCGCAAGGCTAGGGCCTTAGGGTATCAACTTCATGAACCTTTGAACCGAGTACCCCCACCTGCTTCCAATGCCGAAGCCCGCACCCACCATCACTTCGAAGAAATCCCAGCGGAAACCCGCACCCGCCCGCGCGCGGGCGCGCGCGCCCACGTCCCGGCCCACCTTCCCATGTGGGCATCCATTACACTCGGCACAGGAGGCCCGACGCTTCCCATGCGGGCAGCTGTTGCATTGCTTGCAGCTCTGCTTGGGCTCTCCGTGTGGACAAGGATTGCAACGACCACAGAAGCGACGGACCTACCGAAGTCGGTCCAGTCCGGTCCGGCCCGGTCCAAGCCGAAGGGGACCCGGCTTGGAGCCATTGGTTGGAAAAAAGCACGTGGACCCAGGTACTTTGAGGTTTTTTTTTCAAGTCTCAGTCAGTTTGAAACCGTTGGGTAAAACATGGTAAACCATGGTAAACACTATAGTAAAACAATGGGTACGTGTGGTATTTAACCCTTGCAATCCATGCGACCGGCGATTCAAGCGTGGCGTCTTTTTTTCGGACCAAGCGTGAAGTCTTCGGCCAACATGCCCCTGCGTGGTAGGGCCCGATGTCAGTCTGCATGTTAGGGAACGTATAACACAAAAGAGAAAGTGTGTAAGTATTCCACCCCCTAGTCCATCCACGTCCGCTCCAACCATCATGCGCAAAGCACGCGCCTTGCCATGCGGACAGCCATTGCACGTGCTGCAGCTGTTGCGCACCTTGCCATGCTCGCAGGCCGTGCACTCGCGGCAGGCCTGCTTCCTCGGACAGACAGCAGCATCGGCGTCAAGCCCCGGCGCCCCGTTCGGAGCCCCCAGAGTCCGCCAAAGCAAACGTGGGATAGTAGGCTTTGAAGCCCTCCCCTTCCCCCAAAAACATGAACTCCGGAAGTCCTGAAGTCATAAGATGTCAGAATGTGACCGAACTTCAAAAATGGAACGTTTCTTTTCACCCGAACCCTTAAAAAACAATCAGACTCTCCCGGCAAAAAAAAGCAAAGAGGAACGAGCCAAGCGGCAGCCTGCCATGAGGACACGGGTTGCAGGTGCCGCAGAAGCGCCGGATCTTTCCGTGCGGGCAACCCTTGCATTCGCTGCAGGCATCCCTCAGCTTGCCATGCTCACCTCGGACTTGGAGTCTCAGCTCGTAGCTCTTCCTTTCACCAAGACCATTCAATTAATGGTCTTTGGGCGAGCGTGTGACCCGAAGAGGAGCTTCCAAATATCTCATTTGTGCGATGTTGTGGGTACGGAAAAAATAATGAGAAAGACACTCTCCGGAAGTTTCATGACTGGAAAAGAGACAAAAGTCTTTTGCCAAACCTAGAATGCATTGCTCTTTGGGGGTGTTTGGACGTTTGCAGTTGTTCAAGGATCCTGGAGAACAAAATGGGAGAACCCTCCTTTACAACTGAACGTTCAGGATCAGCACAGAGACATTTGGCTCCAGCCCTCAACGCTCCCGTGTCCCAAGAATTCCTCACCATGCGTTCTCAGTGACGTGAACTTGGATTTGCTGTCTAGGCAGGTAGGAAAAACACAGAACATCTATCTTCTCCAAAGAGGGGATTCGCTCAACAGGAGCGTCAACGATTCTTTTGTTGACCGCTCTGGGTTCAATTGGCACCTGATGGCGGCTCCAAATGGAGAAAAAGAACCGATGCTCCTCCCGATGCGCAATTCCAGCAGAGGTGGGTCAGAACCCTAGCTCGACTATCCTATAGGTACTGCTGTAGGGTCCTATTTACGGTCACTTAACCTCTGTAGGTTCACCCAGGTGTTGCGGATCGCAGCTCATCTGATCGAGCAGTGCACCTATGATCGCTGCGACACTCGCAGCTGCAACCCACTCGCGATGTGGCAAGCCACGGAGAAGGGCAGGAGGTTGGACCAAGGGACCGACAGAACTCTGGGAGCACGGAGGAATCCCTAGAGATGCACGGAGGTACCTTCTCAGGTACGGTGATTGGAGGCACTGGTATGTAGGTGCCAGGAGGGTCCAGTCGTACCTTCTGAGGTTCGGTACGACTGGATCCCTAGGGAATCTTCTGATCGATGTTCTGATTGCTTCGCATTTCACTCCCAGCACCCGACTCTGCTAGTATATAGGTCACCGAGACGGAGGAGCTCCGCCGAAGGACCTCTTGAGTCGGGTTTCTGCTTCAACCTCCGAGTCCGGAACTTTCAGGACTCGCGGAATTGGGACTCTGGACACAATGGAAAGGACCGAATTTCACGTGTCGCCTACAGGCCAATGACCGCATTTGACTGGGCCATGATCATACAAAAACACCAATAATGACTTATATGTGCCAGCAGTCACAAGGGGGTGGTGTTTAGTCCCTAAGTGAGTGGAGTAGTTGGGCACCCCTAACCTCCATTGAGCACCCCTTTGCGACTCCTGGTATGGTAATCTCAAGACCAGGCTTTCCTGGGTCAGACTGGACGGGTCGAGGGGTAGCATGGTTGCTGCGGCTGAACCCGTGGCCCGAGGTCCGTGTCACCAAATTCGGGGGCTGAACAAACCACCCAGTTGAGCCAACGTGCACGGCAACGCACGGAGTGCGTTGGCCAAGCTGAAGGCCCAAACAGATCCCAAGACCAACCAACAGAGGTTGAAAGACCTTATAGGACCCTGTAGTGGAACATATGGGATGGGCTATAGGGCTGTTCAACCTCTCTTGGAAGACGTGGTGAACTGCACGGCCATGGTTCTTTTGCAGTGTACAAAGTGTGCTTCACTTTTTGGAGCTCAACCGAATGGAATCTGATGGTCTTGGAGGTATTCTCTTGACCCATGTCCATTGGGAATATCCCAGTGAACATCCTTCCATGTCACTTACACCCAAACCTAACACATCCAGGACACACGTCTTGCACTGGGGGCAGTTCTGCTTCCTGCGGCCATGAGGACCTAGGAGAGACTTGCGATTCAACTGCTGCTGGCCTGCCCGAAGTTAAGGCCATGATTTTGCCATGGAGTCAGTCAGTGGGAAATTGATTCAATTCAGGTCCATGGCGAGTCTCATGATCAAACCGCATCAAACTGGTTCCTTTTTTGCCCACTTCATTTCCACATTTGTTGGTAGATGAAGGGTAGGGAGTGGTAGGCTCAACCTGGAAGTCCGACTAATTTGGCACCACCTAAGGATTCAGGACATCCCGTGTCACCAAACCACTTTTAAGATCCCTCTAAATTCCAAGAACCATTGCTAGGTCAAGCATTCTTTTGATAGTAAAACTGAAGGCTAGCGGCTAGGGATATGAATCAAATTGGTGTGCGAGCCGGGAGGCAAGGGTTGCAAGTGCCGCAGAAGCGCTTGACGCGGCCATGCGGGCAGCCACTGCAGAGCTTGCAGTTGTGCGGCAGTTTCCCATGTGGACACCCTGCGCACTTGGGACCTCAGGAAAAAAGGCAAGAACCAACAACCCCATTGAAGCGATTGAAGCTATTGGTCGATCTCCAATCTGAGCCAACCAAAAACAAGGCGGCACATGAGAAGCCTTGAACGCGTCCAATCATCTGGGACTTGGTATCTTGCGTTTTCTCACGATCCAATGGGCAGATCCTCATTTCCCAAAATGGAATCCAAGGAGTGCGCGTGTCTTAAAGTAATGTGGAGAGTCTGGAGCCATTGAGTTCTGCCCGGAAAACCGAACTTAACAGCTTCATTGAGGGATCTTTCAGAGTGTTGGGACCTTCCAGAGCTGAGCAAAGGTGCCAAATCCCTGCCCCTGCCTGACCTCCTCAGTCTCCTTGGAAAAACAAGGTTAGTTATATCACCTGTTTCATCCTGTTTCCATCTATTCATACTATATAAGTATATATACTGAGTGTGCAAAATGAACCTCCCTCCCAAAAAAATGCTGTTGCTCATTCACTTGATCATCCTGGGGCGTTTGCTCTCAGAACTCCCTCCTCCTTCGCTCAACCCTTCGCTCTGCAAAAGTGTTGCAGTCCCGTTCGCTCTCGTTCGCTCTCATTTCAGATTTGCTGTCTCGAGCTGTAGGATAAATCTTCCCAAACATGTTTACCCGGTTCGGGAATGATCCGCAACACCCAGATCCGGACTGATAAAACCACTGGATCAACCAAATCCCCCCGTGATCCGCAAGCCCACCAAGAGTTGTTCGCTCAACCCTTCCAACCACAGCGGCAGTGGGCACGGTCCTTGCCGTGCTCGCAGGGTTGGCACTGGGGGCAGAAGCGCGGCAGCTTCCCATGTGGGCATCCATGACCTCAGACCCATGGGGCGGTGGGGTGGCGCTGGCGTAGCCGGTTGCACCGTGGCGAGGCGGGCGGCCGATTGGAGCCCTGCGGCTTCCGAGCGGCCCACCACTTTTGGTTTAAAATAGTGTTTGACTGGAAACCAGAGAAGAGATGCCAGTCAAACACTATTTTAAACCAAAAGAGTCTCACTAGAGCTCAGTATTCGTGAAAGGAAAGTGTTTGACTGAACAACCCATGTTCCGTCGGGTTCCCGGTCGACAGGCGCCTGATGTTCATACCATATCGACTCGTAAGGAGGTGATCGCCGTGGTGTCCGAACGAACCACCCCATGCCCGGCCCCAGGGGGGCAGGTACCCCATGGGGTTTACGTAAGGAGTTGGCACGAACCACCCCGTCTTCGGTTCGTCTCGATGCTTCGGCCCCGTTCCCAAAACCCGTAAAGGCTTTCCTCCTCTTCGGCGAAGCGCAGCGCCGGTTCAAAGGCATCCCCAAAACAAAACGAATCGGCCGGACGGTCCAAAACGAAAGGAGGAATTGGCGTTCAACGCTCCGGGCGGCAGGTGAGGCAGGTGAGCTTGTGCACGCCATGTTTGCAGACGTTGCACGAGGCACAGTGCTCTCGCACCTTGCCATGGGGGCCTCAGAGCGTCGCCAAATCAGGCAGGCGTGGGGCTGCAATAGGCTGGGGCAGCATTCAAGAATACAAGTGAGGAATGGTAAAAGGGCGGACCACCAAGACCAATCTTAGACACACCATGACACAACATACATCAACCAGATCAAGCCAGATCAAGCCAGGTGCTTTCTCTGATCACTTCGTGAACCCATCGACTTGATCTTCCATGGCCCAGAGGACCCAGAGTTCGGGCCGACCCCTTAAAGGCCGCCGACCGGAAGCGGTCTCAACGAGCTGGATCGGACCGTCCGGAAGCGGTTTCCGGTGCAGCCGAAAGCATTCGGTGGAACTGGACGTCTCGGGACGGTGGTGGAGAGTGGTTCCTCCCAACGGGGTCCGGACGTTCCTCGCACCCGGACGTCCAGCGCTGTGCCCCGGACGTTCATCTGGCGCTGGCGCTTGACAGAGCGCCGGACGATTGCTGTGTTTTTCTTGACCAAAGTCCGACACATCTGGTCTTGATTGGGTATATGTCCTATTGCTGTCAGCTCATCAGCGAAAGTCAATGGGTTAGATCCCACTTGGACTGAGGAACATTGGCAGTCGGTCAAACCTCACTTTACAAACCATGGAAGCTTGACAGTCCCCTATAATACATCTGTTCCTTTTCGGTGGTCAACCAGGGTTGCCCTGGTTTTGACCGGACAATTGGGAGATTCCACCGCCGGTCCCACTGAACGCTCGTTATGCTCGTTGTTCCCTCGTATATCCAAGCAGCAAGACTTACAGCTGGCGCAGTTTTGCCGTAGCCGGCCATGGGGGCAGCCATTGCACGTCAAGCAGCCTTGGCGTGGCTCGGCGTGAGCAGAGCGGACGAAGCTCGACGCAGCGGTTGCCGCCCGCGTGCGACGCTTCACATGGGTTTCGTCCTCGACGACGAAGGGACGGAGGGGCTGAACATCCAGTTGTTTCTCCCGGCTGAAGTCCAGTTCGACGACTATATGTCTTGACCGGCTGGAAGTAAAGGAAACAAGACGAGACGTCCCCTATAGTCAGACTGTTCTTTTGATAGTCGACTTGACGTCCCAGGGTATTCTGGTTGTTCAATTCTTCTGGGTGCCTGGACCTGAAAAAGGGGTGTTTCGATCGGACCTGCCCGGAGAGTAGTCTTCCGGCCAGGTGACCCCTTTGAAGGTGCTGGTGGGTATTTTCAATAGGGAAATTTCGGGAGACCCTGTTTCTCGCCCCTGGCTGGGTAGACTGGTCTAATTTGGGTCTTTGAGAGCTCCACCCACCATGGTTTGGTGGACAAACCACGCACATCCACGCACTATGTTCAAAGCCCACAAAAAAACCCAGCACGGTCCAAAACGCATGTTTTAACACACACCTTGCACTTGCACACAATGTTCCAAAAACATCAAAAAACCACCCTGAGTCCCTGAGTCATCGAGGTGTTTAATCTTCCGAACATCGCCTCTTCCATTGGCCACTTCATGGTCTTCCGAACATAGTCTCCGAATTCGACGTTGTAATTACTGTAGCAGGTGGTGTTCGAGGCCTCTGGGTGCCAAAACTCCATGGCCCTTCGTGCCATAGACCTTCCCGCTTCTTTCGTATTACGGATCCTTCCTACCACCCTGACTCCCCTAAGCTGACCACCGTTCTATGCGACCTCTGGGGCGACCGACCACCCCCGCGCCGCGGTGCACTCGTGCGGCCCGGGGTGCCGCCCTTGAGGCGTCCGTGCGGGCAGGGCGTGCAGAGGCGGCAGGCAGACTTCACCAGGCCATGCTTACCTCGAAGCGAGGTGGTGAACCAGCGAGCGAGCGGGAGCCCGGAACCGGGAAGGCTTGCGGGAGGCGTGCGGCAGGGACCAAAGAGGTCGAAGGAGATGCACCGGGAGGGAACGATTCTGATCAGCTTGGGCTCGGACATCGACCGGCCCAGCGACCGGCTTCGATCTGAACTCGTCGGACATCCCAAGAGAGGTTCTAAGTGACCTGAACTAGGACCTGTCACCTGGGGTACCCAACTGGGATAGGCGAACTAGGGTCCTTCAACCTCTGTTGGTCTGGCGAAGGGAAACCTCTTCGAAGCCACCACCCTTTTCAGCCCCTACCGGCTGCAAGAGCGCAATTCTTCTCCTTCGCCTTCCATCAGACTAGACTAGTCAGCGGCGAGTCGTTGGATAGAGAGACGACCAATGGGTTTTGATCCATTTCCCTCATTCCAAGGGGTTTTGGTGGGAGGTGTTCCATGGTTGTCCTATTGGATCGCCGAAAAAGAGACCCCCGGGCTTTAGAGTTCCAGACGTCTGGCAGTTGCAAAGAGATCCAAATGTTTAGAGGTTTTGAGATCCATTTAGGTCTTGAGATCCAAAACGATCTAGAAGTCCAGAAAGATCTAAACGCCAAAGATCCAGAGAGATCTTAAACGTCTGGAGGTCTAGATCTGGAGATCTACAAGCCGCACTTGAGATCCAGACAGGTCTTGAGATCCAATGACTGAAAGTTTCTAGAGATCTAGAGTTTGAGGTCTAGGAAATGGAGGAGAGGTCTAGAGGTCTAGAGGTCGGATGTAGGGATGGGTCTTGACATCCAAGAGCACTACATCTGAAGTTGAAAGATCTGAGGTTGAGGTCTTGGAGCTCTAGGTCTAATTAGTTGTCTAAAAGACCTACAGGTCTCAAGGCCTACAGGATCCTACAGGTCTAGAGTTTGAGAGGTCTAGAGGTCTAAGGACGTCTATGACAGGTCTTTAAAGGTCTTGAGATCCAGGACGAGTCTAGAGACCTCACAGGACGAGAGACCTGAGATCCACCAACAGAGGTGGGTCAGAACCCGACTGCTTCGACATCTATAGACGATCCCAGTTGGGTAATTCAGGTGGACCAGGTCCGATGTACGGTCACTGGCTACCTCTCTTGGCATGTCTTAAGATCAACCAACTCGCACCTGCCCAGGCTCCCTCTCATGCGCCCCCCCCCCACCCAGCTCAGCTCCAGTCGCATCCGCGACTCGTGCACATGGTGCAGACGTCGCGCAGCACCCCATGCTCACAGCCCGAGCAGATGGTACACCGCCGAACAAACCTCAGCCACAGGAACCAAGTCACAGGTTTTGGATGTTTTTGGGCGCCCCCAGCGAAGGACCCCTTCCTTGTGGGCACAAAGAAGTAGGGCACTTCAAACGTCTTTCGCAAACACGGATGATTTTTGGGGGGGGGGTCGCCAAGCATTCCAACCACCAATGGGCTTTCATCGGATTTGCGGCTTTACCGAACAACCATTGTTCTACTAAAGGATGTTACACGACAAAACCCACCAGGAGTCACAGAGCTCGGGGTGGTGTGGCTCGTCCCATCCAGTGAGTGAGTGGAGCACCCCGTCTTCCTCCATGGAGTCCGCACCCCTTACCGAACGTGACTGCTGGCAGTCAACAACCTTTCCAACAGAGGTGGGTCAGGACCCGAACTAACCTATCCCATATAGGTACTCCAGGTGACGGAGTCCTAGTTACGGTCACTGGCTACCTCTCTTGGTTCGGCTTTCGCATCATCGGAACGCACAACGAACGCCGGGCGCGCCCCATCGTGGGCTCGTTGGTTCGGTCTTCGGCGCGCCCCTCGTTGGACGACCGGCGTTCGTTGAGGTTGGGTGCCCAGGTTGGTCGTGGCCCGACAAGCTGACCGGTGACCTGTATGTAGAGATGTTCGGGCCCTGGTGAAGTAGGTAGTATAGTAGAAGAACTTGATGGTTCTAGGGACATGCCAGGACCCAAAACAAGCACAACGAAGGCCTCAAGGTTGAATGAATACATCAAAACAAATAGACATCATTATACTGACAAATACCCCCCCCGCGAAATTAACTCCAAAACCACGTGCTCAGTGCTCAGGGTCCATGTTGAGTTTGCGGAAGCGTCATCCAAAACGGCTCCTTTTGACCCCGCGTAGCTTCGAGAAAAGGTCTCTTTGGCATCACGGCTCCCTTCTTAGACGCTTGGTTCCCTGCCGGTGCGGAGTGGAAAACTGCCTCCCCAAGGTCGGAATGCTGCCCTCGGACTGGTAGGACATGTGACATGGTAGGACCCCATCACACCTGTGTGTGCACCAAAAGAGGTAGCCAGTGACCGTGAACGCGACCCGGAAAACCTGGGGTACCAGACTGGCATAGTCCAACTAGGGTTCAACCTCTGCCGTGCGCGCGTGTAGTGTGTAGCTCGCGCGGACGCGCGGAGGGCCATCCCAGACGTGTCAACGACCCCGCCGACCTGGCGCCGGGCCAGGGTGCTATGGAACATACACATCCAGTTGGCATTGGGCCAGGGCACCCAGGAAACGTTCTTTTTTAATTGAGGACCTCTCTTGGAAGAACGGCATGTTAAATTGATTCGCTCTCTTCGTCCCACTTAAAGGATCTCGCCATGTTCGACACCAAACAACAGATGATTGCTGACCCGTCACGCACTCAAATCAACCATCCGCCCCACAGACTTTACATCCAAGCTGCAGCCCGTGGGGGCAACTGCCTCGGCACTCGGGGCAGCGGAAGGGAAGCCGCCCGTGCGGACAGCCGCGGCAGATGGCGCAGGCCTTCGCACGGTGGCCATGGATGCCTCGGGCGGCCGCGCCGCACGGAGCGGGAGAAACCACCCGGAGGTGCGGCGCGGTGCCCCGGTGCGCAGACACGATCTAGTGGGACTGCCTTCGGACTGCCGCCCCAGACAGACACCCCCCTGGCACCACCACCCCTGGCCTGATTGGCAGTCCTATGGCAGTCCCATGGAGTGTCTGCGGTGGTGAACTTGGATTTTTGTTGGAACCCAATTAAGAGCTGCTGGACCCTGTAACTGTTCGAGCTTCTGGATGAAGTATGATGAAGTATGATAAAGATGCTCACTTCATTCAGGAATGCTTTGGATGCAAATAAGGAACATCATGGAACATCCAAATCGAGTCGCCAGCTTTTCGGAGTTCCCCATCTCAATCTTGCCGCGCTGAGCAGATGCTAAGCATCTGACAAAGTGCAGTACATTGCAGTACTATGCAGTACTATTATACAGTTGAAGGAGGACTGAAAGAGCAATTGGATTGATGAAGCTGAGGAACATGATACACATGCTCACAGGAATTTCACAGCTTTGTACTTCCTCATCATGTGGGGAACATGGCACCACCGAAAAAGGACATGTCGGTCAAGCTCACTACATGGTGGAACCATGGACCTACTAGGTTCTGACCCATCCCCAGATCTGTTCTCACCAGCTCATCATCTACCAAGAGAGGTAGCCAGTGACCATAAATAGGACCCGTCACCTGGGGTACCTATGGGATAGTCCATAGATGTCCAAAAAAACGGTTTCATCACCCGATCCATTGCAGAGCAGATCGGCGATAACTTGGCGGGGGTTCTTTTGGAGAGTCTCCGATCCGGAAGTCTTCCAACCAGCAGTTTCATCCAGCAGAGGTGGATCAGAACCCTAGCTCGACTATCCTATAGGTACTCCTGGTGACGGGTCCTAGTTCAGATATGTTCAGATCACTTAACCTCTGCAGGATGGTTGGTGTGGTGTGCTGAACTTGGGGTGCCATGGGGTGCCATGGGGGTGTCCCTGTCACCTTCAACATCGCCTCTAACAACCAACTGTTCGGTGGGTCAGGACCCGCCCTTCGACTCTCCCAGGCCACCCCAGGTGACTTCCGGGTCCTAGTCGGAACCGGTCACCGGCTACCTCTGAACATCCAAAGACTCAAAACCGTCCTTCCAAACCACCCAAGAGGGGTTGAGAGACCGCTTCACGTTCGGACCCTGGTCTGTGGTACACATGGGATGGGCGAAAAAGGGCTGAAACCAACCTCTCCAGGACTGGAAGACATCTCTTCCGCCACCCTCGGCCCCACCAGTTGACCGCAGGATGGCCACGATACAGGTCGCGACTCGCCATCGACCGAAGCTTCGGGCGTCCCCGTGACGCGATACGGTCGCGAGCGCGGATAAGACAGTGCGTTTCAGAGGTTCGATGGCGCCAGCGCACCCAAGATGTCTCTAATTATGGAGGTCCTCATCCAACACCTAACTTGGGGTCACTTGCGCCATCTACCCAACAGAGGTGGGTCAGAACCCTAGTTCGACATCTATAGACTATGCATGACTATCCCAGGCCAGGGTAATCCAGGTTTTCCGGGTCTACCTCTCTTGGACTCTCAGGGCCCACACCGCTGCCCTTCCGGTGAGCCTCCCTGGGATCCCACGATCAGTGCCGATCTCCCGATCTGCCGATCTGTCAGTCCAAGAGACATCGAGCCTTCCACTTGAGCCTCTTGATCTTTGGCCTCTCCCCACGCTTCACCATAGCCAGGTGGCTATAGCCTCGAGCTCGAGCGGAGCACAGGCCGAGCCTAACTGATGATCTTATGCCAGCAATTCCAAGACGGTGCCCATTATTGCTACGACATCTCCCTGCCTTTGATGCTTAAAAGCCACCCCTTTGCAACTGGGTGCAAGTCATTCCTTTCATACCACCTTCGATGGGAGGAGAGCTAGCTGTCGCCTCGGGATGTTTCTGGCATTGGAAAAAGCGGCGCGAACCCTTCACACGAAGGGCTGAAATCCACGGCCAACCTCGATTTCTGACATCCACGGCGGCCGTGGCGAACCAGGGCCATCATGGGCCATCACCATTCCAGTCGCCCTACTGCATGAAAGAACCGCAGTTGGTCATACACCTTCACCACTACGTTCCCACGACTCCATCGGAGAAGGAGGCCCGCTTTCGAGCGGTGAGACTGGACCTTTTTGGGGATCTGAAGAGAGGTTCGGTTAAGTGACCGTAAATAGGACTATACTGGGGTACCCAACTGGGATAGTCTATAGATGTCTACCAGGACCTTCCAAATCCGGTGGTTTTTGGACACCCCTTAACCTCTTAAGAGGCTATTTATAGACACCTCTTGGTTTCGGTCCTGGTATAGGGTTCTTCAACCTCTGTTGGTCAGCCCAGTGGCTCTTCTTCTCCTTCTTCTGCTTCGGTGGCCCCTTAGGCCGCTCGGACTCCTTCCACCGGTGAACGCACATGGCGAAGCGTCTCCTCGGCTTCGGCGTCTGCTGCGACTCCCTCTTACCGGAGTGAGCAAACCGGGCCGAAGAAAGGCTCAACACCGGAGGCGTACCAAACTGCAAACCCAAAAAAGATGGCTTTTTCGGAGTGCTCTGGAACTGCTGTGGGACCACGCGAAATGATCTGAATCTTTTTGGATTTATATAACTTCGGGGTGCTCGATGGTGTGAAGAGCTCTTCGATCGAACCCGAACCCCAAAAAACAGATGCCAGGGCTCCACTTTCCCTTGGGCGCCAACAGTGGCTGGCACTCTGGGCAAACCCTGCAACGTCGTCCCAAGCGTTGCGCGGCGGCCGAAGTAGGGCCGCGCGGATGCAGTGGCGCGGCCAGTTGCGCCCAAACGTCCGCGACTTCGCCGGACATGGCATGGCGAGAGAGGCGGCTGGCTGGTGCGTCTCAACCCTCCAAGCCTGTGTTGGCTGCTGGAATTCGGATGGCTGGTGCTTGAAAGTAGATTCAGAGGCTAGCCAGCTCAAGACCTGGCTGAAGAGATTCACCTCTGCAAGGGCCTGGTTGCATTTCGGAAATGGTGGGAGGGATCGCAGTGTTCAGATGTCTGCGGCCACGTCGTTGATTTGGATTCGTGTTTTCGCACGAAGGCTTGGGGCATCATGGGGGAGAAACATGGCTCAACAAAACAGTCACTTCAAGAACATCAGAGTGGCATCATGTTGGGTGGGAAGGACACTTTTTTGCACTGTCATGGATGATGGATCTGTGCTGTCATGGATCTGTGCTGTCAATTCATTGCACTCTTAATCTGTTCTTTGTCTATGCGTTTCGGGCATCTGGACATGTCCATGACGCTCATGACCAACCCGCCACCACCCTGAACTCCGACGTCCACGCGCGGAGCAGGGGGGGCCTCTGAGGCATACTCCCGGAACTCCGAAAGCACCTGGTCGATGTTGCGCTCCGAGGCCAGTTGCACCTGACGGCGCGCCCACCGCGCGCGGTCTGGGCCACACACACAGGCAAGGGCGTCGCCCCAGCCGACCCGTCCCGTCTTCGGGTCCAATTGGCTTCAATGGGGGCCCAGAGAGGTCCCAGTTCGAACTGGGTGATGGAAAGCATTTGGTAGAGAGAAGCCAGGGTAGACAGACACCCGACCACCTTCGAAGTCACCCGGCTGGCTTCACCCCAGCCCAGTCTCCGCCGACCCCAGATGATGGGGGAGCGCGTCAGAGAACTCTGCTACATCCGGCTGTGGCGAAGGAGATCACTGGGAACAGGTGTCTACCAGCCAGAAGATCCGTGGGAGGTGCGAGAACGGGTTCTGAGGACGAAGTTTGGGTCGTTTTTGGCGCGGAATTAGATTGTGG